CCCCCCCCCCCCCTTAGAAAAAAAAAATTACAGTGAACCAAAATTAAAGCATATCTTAGATGCCAGTCTTGCTTTTCAGAACAATTTTTGCTAACATCCAAAGAATAAGATTTGCTTTGAACAATAAATTCACTGTAGTTTTTTTCTGTGCCAAAAGCAGAAAAAAAAAATCTTCAACAACTGCTTAATAAAATATATCCAAAAATATTTTCTTAAATAAACACTTTTACTTTACTCAACCGCTATACTAGTTTCAGATAAACTAAAAAAAACTTATTTCTTTTTATTTTTCATCTGCTAAATCAATATTTCTTTTTCGACCACCTTAGGCTGTCCCCAAACTGCACTTAACTTAACTATTTATCCTGATTAAGAGGTCTTCATTTGAACGTTTTTCTCTAATCTGTCATTAGGTCTGTTTGAAGCATCAAATGAAAGAAGAAAAAAAAAGAGAAATACACATACACGCAAAATTTTTTTCAACTATCCATTCGATGCTGTCAGTTGACAGACGCTGACAATGACCGAATACACGCAAACTAAAAAAACCTTAAAAGTCATATAAACACGTAAAAAATTTTTTTCTACTATCCATCTAGTTTCGCGCTTTTATAACCAGACATTGACAATGGTAAAAATTTTTTGACTAGACTTCCCGATCCAACTAATATAGCAGAATAGTGAAAAATTATTGGCAAATGACAACAACTAGTTTCAACTGTTCTGTTTTCACCTCAGCTTCTCTTTTTTCTTTGAACCAGATATATGCATACCAAAAATCTTCAAAAACCAATTCAGTTTTGTTCTGTAAAGAATAGATGCTTAATAAACGAGTCTTTGAATTTAATAAATCTTTCAACTGTGTTCACATACAAAAAAAAATTTTCAGAAGCGAATGACGATTTTTAGGAAGCGTTTGGAAACCTCGGAGGAACAAGGAGAAGACGAAAACAATATGAAGTTCTAGATAAGACTGTAAACTGCACACGCAAAAAACATACCCCAGTTGTCGTCAAAATCTTTGCTATCGGCTTCAGAAATATTGTCGTTAATAATCCAACCGGTACCATATTGGCTGTGCTGCGATCTTTCCAAAACTGATTGGTAACCAGACTCTTCCAAAAATTCTGCACGTTTCAGTGCGTCTTTCAGATACCGTAAATCAAAATCCATATCATACTGGAATTTTGGAGCGTCTAAGAAATCGGAACTGCTCGACTTTGGCACTCCTCTACAAATTATGCACTTTAAAATGCAACTGAATAAAGGAAAAAAATAGATTAAAAAATATATGAAAAAAAAAAAAGGAAAGGGGTAATAAGACGAAAAAAAAAAAGAGCAGAAAGAGAGGAATAAAGAAAGAGAATTCAATTCTGAGCTACATTAACTCTCTCGTATATAACTTTTTTGAAGGCTTTTTAGTTGTGATAATGTTTTTTATTTTCCCTTATTCCTCTTCCTTTTCTTCCTCTATATCCCCCTTCCCACCCCCCACTCCTCCTTCTCA